CATGCATGCATAGAGAAAGAGGTTATTGATCAGTGGTGTATGTTCTGGATGGTTGTTGTTGTATTTGTGAATTATTTGAATTTGTTTTATTTAGGGGTTTAATGGGGTCAGGTATAGAAGGGTTTTCGTCGCTATCATCATCACTTATATTCTCCATCATGAGCCCTTCCACCATTCTTCTTTTTAGCTGCGCAATTCTGGGTCTTTCTTGTTCTGTTGCTGCAGTTTGTCTTGGGCTAGCAATGCGTTTAATATCGGATAGATCTTGTGTTTTACTTCTGCTGCTTCTTGCTGCTTCTCCTCTGCTGCTGCTGCTGCTGCTGCTGCTGCTGCTGCCTTTTGGGTGGTGCTTGGAGCCGTTTCTTTTGCTTCTGTCGCCGCCGCTGCCTCTCTCTGTTGTTTCCCCCTCCTCCATCAGTCTTTTCTTTTCAAAGTATGCTTCTGCTGCAGGCATATCTGGTGCTTTCTCTAGGTATTCACGCAGCTTCTCTATAAACTCATACAGACCATTGGACCACAGGTTTCTGTCTCTGTCTACACGCCGAAAAAACAAATCATGAACACCCTGGTGGTTGTGGTAACGAACATAAAATGTATTGCGATCGTACTTATCTGGCAACACTAAACTTATCGCCAAAAAGGAATAACCACCTTTCTTCTTCTCCCCAGCCTGCACACACACACATATATATATGTATATATATATATATATATATATATATATATATATATATATATATATATATATATACTATATACATGTTACATCATGAAGCAACACGAGATCAACATCTTTGCTTGCTACCTCTCAGCACAACAGGAGAAAGATATTACACCATGAAATAAACAAAACAAAATATGCGGGTTTCTTCAGCTTTCATCGCAACGAAACACAATATACATTACTATTCATGTTGCAACTCCAAGCATTGCTTTCAGCAGTTACTGTGGTACAAGAAAAGGCTGCTTTCTCCCTCTCGTGGATAAACCCAAGAAGAGGAATGTTGTGTTGCTGGTGATTGTATTGAAATATAAAGCAAAAACCAACAGCGAGATATGCATGCACGATGAAGCATGAAACGGAAAGGTACATAAGAAACCTGAATCATGATGAAATAAAGGAAATAAACGATACTCACCAAACATTCTTCTTTTGAGTTCCAGTATTGCCATTCCCACTTTCCACTGCGTCGTTCGGTTGCCTTGAAATAAAGAGGAATCCACGAGCCGCCGACAGAGCTCATGAGTTTCAGGGGCCCCTCTAAAACTTTACTGAAAAAACGAAGTCTCTGTAGATCACTCATGTTATTTATATCTATTTTAAGCGGCTCACCACGACTTTCTGCTTCATATTGTGCATGCAACAGAGCCTGATGAATCAAAGGCGACATCTGGTATTCTCCTAGGTTCACGTGGGAGGTATCTAGGCGGTGAAAGGAAAGCTGAAACACACAAACACAATATATTTATTCGGGATTCATGGTTTATGATTCATGATTCATAGTTTATCATTCACACTTCATGATTCATGATTTATGATTCATATTTCATGATTCATATTTCATGATTGATGCGTTGTATTTCTCAAATATTGCCAATTCACAAATACAAAAACGTTTTTTCTGTACCTTTTGCTGCTTTCTATGGGGTTAATTACCTTTTTTTTCCGGAAATTCAAAAAAGAAACTGCTGGGGTGATTCAAGATGAATCATGAATCATGAAACGTGAATCATGAATCATGAAATACAAATCATAAATCATGAAATATAAATCATGAAATATTAATCATAAATCATGAATCATGAAATGTGAATCATAAATTATGAATCATGAAATATGAATCATGATATATGAATCATAAATCATGAAATATGAATCATAAATTATGAATCATGCATCAGGAATTATGAAATCATGAATTATGAATCATGAATTATGAATCATGAAACATGAAACATGAAACATGAAACAGGCACCATGAATTATGAATCATGAATTATGAATCATAAATTATGAATCATGAATCATGAAACAAGTACCATGAATTATGAATCATGAATTATGAATCATAAATTATGATTCATGAATCATGAAACCTGAAACATGAATCATGAAACAGGGGTCATGAACTATGAACCATGAATTCTGAATCATGAATTACGAAACCTGAAACCTGAAACATGAATCATGAATTATGAATCATGAAACATGAATCATGAAACATGAATCATGAAACATGAATCATGAAACATGAATCATGAAACCTGAAACTTGAAACCTGAAACCTGAATGATGAAACGGGCATCATCAATTATAAAACATGAATCATGAACTATGAAACCTGAAACCTGAAACCTGAAACACATGAATTATGAATTATGAATCATGAATTATGAATAACGAGAGAATCAGCATAAATCCAGTGACTTACGACAACTTTGCATGAAACTTTTCCTTCAAACATCATTGCATAGCTTTGCCTTTTTGGAAATCCTACATCAATTAAATCTGATTTTACTTTAATTCCACATTCACCAATTGGCTCTGTTCCCACCACTCCGTGGCGAAGCACACGAACGTATATCACGCGCTCGCATTGACGCACATGCAGAGTAAGCCGCTCCTGAAAAAAAAAAAAAATTAAATTAAATTAAATTAAATTAAATTAAATTAAATTAAATAAAGTAAAATAAAATAAAAGAATTGCCGCAGTTCATTCATCCTTCGTCAACAAAAAAT